CCTTTTTTCTAAATGCAGAGCTTTAGCACTCAAATTGAGTGAATTATGTCCCAAAAATGATCACGTAAAAAAGGCTCTTTTTTGGGGTTCATTTTCCCAGTGTGGATTTATAGTTTAAGTTCCTTCAATCTTTTTCAGCTTTCAAACATAGTCTTCACTCAGGTAACAGTGAAAAGATTATCTTAATATGATTTCAGCAATTATTCCCAGCTAAACTGATATAATTGAGTGATCTCCTTGTGGTCCACATAACCACGGCTTTAATGTCAGACACTGTGGTTTTAACTTAACTGAAGCTTCAGTCATATCATATTTTGTTTGCCCAAAATCACAGATGGTATTTTCATCATAAAAATACAAGAATCATTTCAGCCCCCAGAACAGTCTTTTACTCTTTTCTTGACAGGCGAGCAGCTAAGCCTTCAAGAGTAGAGAGAGAGGGAGAGAAAATGAGAGAAATAAAGGGGGGATGTCTGGGTAACTTCAATAGCCTCTCTGTGTCCATCTAATATGGAGGGCTAGCATGCTGGGAGTTGGCCCTTTCCATTCAGACAGACCCCAAACTCATAAAGACCTCTTCTGTGGCCCCCAACCTGAAACCCACCCACCAAAGCCCTCGCTGGTATAGGCCCCTTCCATGGGAACTTGCAATCTGCAACGTAATCCCACTTTGGCCCCTGGAGAAGCCTTTCCAAACAAACCATGTGAGTCCTAATACCCAGGGCTTCACAAGTGGCTCCTGGCTAGGCCTGAGCTCCACCACCACCAACAACTTGGCCCTCCTTCTTCTTTTTTTCTCATTCCCTCGCTTTTCTTCTTTCCACGGATAGACGACAAAAGAAAGGGATCTCCTTCTAATTGCTTCGGAGATTGAAAAGCTGAGAGGGGTGGTGGGCGGCTACAGGGGGAATTGAGGCCGAGGCTCTGGAGGCAGCGGGGTACTGTCAGTCTGGCTTTGCCCGCCCTGGGTGTGCAGGAGCTGGGATAAAGGAGCTGGCAGGACAGCCTCTGCTGCAGATCTGGGCTGAGTGGATCAGAGTGAAGGCGTGAGACTCCCAGGGCCCAGCTTTACAACTCCGGCCAAACGGCGGACTGTGAGAATGTGGAGGAGCTGAAGTAACTCTGCTGGAGGCCCTCTTCACTCATGGGAAAGGACGTCTGGTCTTCACAACTGGGATTCAGAAACCATAGGCTGCTGAGAACAACGTGTTCAAGCCAAGAAGGAGTATCTGACAGAGGGAAGGCAGAAACACAGTGTATTGGTAGCAATCCAAACCTTCTGCCCTGTATGAAAAGCCCAGCCACCACTGATCAGTGTGGTGGTAGATGATGAAGTGTGTGAACACACAGTTGGGGTGGTCCGTGACCTTTGGATCAGTTGCTGTGACATGCAGAGTTGCTGATAACACTCACACACACAGACAGAGACATACACACACAGACACACACCTTGACCTCTGCAGTAAGCCATGCCACAAGTCCACGCCTCTTTCTCTCGCTCTGCCATCACCCAGCAGCAGCAGCTCCTTTGAAGCTCAGTGGAGGAGTTTTGCTCAGCTGTTTATCATTGTGAAGCGTGAATGGGACAAAAAAGGGAAAAAGGAAAGAAGCTGCTTGGGTGATGATGAAAATCAAGATTACAGTATACAAATCTCTGCCTTTCAATAACAGCCACACACAAAAAAAAGATTTGAAAGCAAAATTTGAGTAAAAATAAGATTGAGGTCAGAGCACTTAACACGTCATGTTTGAGTTCAAAGACTGAATAGAAAAGGGCCCGCTCCTCTGTATGTGAAGTGACATGAGATCCAACGGATTTTGGACCTTACTAGCTCCCAAAAGTTCCCTCAGTCTCCCCTCCCTGACCTCCTTTCATCCCTCCATCCCTTACGCCTTTCTTCTTTTTAATACAAATCAGCCACTCAATGCCATGCACATGTTTTAGTGTTATTTGAACTCTGGCAGAGAACTTCAAACAGCTTTCAAAGTGAACAGAGTTTTTTCCCCTCTTGCTCTCTATCTTTTTCTATTTTTAAAAAAAAGAACACAGCCGCGCTTCCAAGTACACCTGATCAGAAGGTCGAGAGATGGGGATTATGATATGCAAATGAGGCTTTGTTATCAGCGTTGACATTCGTTATAAAGCTTAACAGAGGAGAGGTAAGATGAAGAGGTGGCAACACACCCCCCTCTACCCCTTTTAGCATAACCTCCCCTCTCAAACACATTGGCCTACCTAAGCCCCTTTTTTTCTCATTTAGATCAAAAGGTTACACACAACAAAGAAAGGCCTGTGTGGAAAAGAAAAAGCACCCTGTACACACTTCTGTGCACTTTTACACAGTCAAGACTATTGATTGGTCAGATGCCCCAAAGGTGTGTGCACATCTGTGAAGTATGTGTGTGTGTGTGTGTGTGTGTGTGTGTGTTGATGTCAGGATTCGACCATGTCCTGATGAGGTTGTCATCTCTTATGCTGTTTAAGCATAATGGAGGTCTATGCAATTACCAAACGCCGTTGAAAGGCTTTCATATCTCTCCCCCGCTGTGACACGATAAGGACAAGGACACACAAGTGCACACACACACACACACACACACACACACACACACACACACACACACACACACACACACACAGGGGATTGAGTCCTTTCAAATACAAAAGAAACATGAATATTGTTGCCCCCCCTGTTCAATCTGCATACTGTTCAGTTCAAAGGAGTCCAAGCGAGGTGGCGGCCTGTGCTACTTTTCCAGCTATTAGCCTGGCCCACCATCTGCAGTGATCTAGCGAGGAGTGGCTTTTATGAACTTCATAAATGCATGATTATTAGAGCGTCAGAGTGGAGATGAGCTGTCTGGCCTTTGAGTTTAGCAGCAGGGGTCCCGAGTGCTTTGATGTGAATCATACAGTTAAATAACTTTTGAGAGGTAGAGGGAGCTACTGAAACCTTACAAAAGGCCAAGCCCCAGTTTTTTTTTTCCTCTTTTTTTTGACACCATGTCAACGAAAACAACACTCATTATGTAGACATCCTCAGGTACATTGTGAAACTGCACTCCATATTCCTGCCAATAAGCAACATTTTGTCTTCATCAAATTGCAGACTGGCTGTCTTCTAAAAATTGTATCAAAACATCACTTTCTCTCTCATAGGAAAAAAAAGTCAACTTAGCAGGTGTCCTGGATGTTTCAGTCATATCACAACGCCTTCATCTGTGGATGGGATTTTCCCAATTGTCATAGAATTGTTAATAGTTCAGAGTCCTCTAAAGACTTCTCATCCGTGTCATCTTGAAAGCTGAGGTTCACTCTTGACCTTGGAGACAGCATTTACGAAAACAATCTCCCCACAAGATCCATTTAGTAGCTGTTCTGGAGTGTTTGATCATAGGACATGATCTTCATCAACAGATGGAGTTTGCCCAGTTGTCATAAAGTTGAAAGAAAAATCTCTGAGGTCAAGAATGACCTTTGAAACTCAATATAATAAGTTGCCTAAATAATGCATGGTTCAGTCTAATTTGCTCTTTGGTAATTCATTTTCTCCATCCATGCTGAAGGCACAGACTTCAGCTTTTTGTAATGTCACCCTCCTTGTAGTGGATGAAAGAAGGTTTTGATTACAGCCTTTTGAAATTTTGAGAACACACAGGGCACCCCAGTAGCTTTGGGGTTAAGACACTATCAATGAACTCTGACGACCCTAGTTTAAGTTTGTTTCATCTGTCCCTCCCTCATCTCTCTTCTACGGTCTGTAATAAAAGATAAAAATTTCCCCAAATGACTTTTAAAATGAGGACACAAAAAATGAAAGACAACTGTTTGTCAACATACCATGTTATACCCACCAGACATTTTTGCGTGTATGTGGCTATTTTGGCTTCATTAGTGAATACTGGGTAAGAATATGTGTGGCTAGTTTAATTTTGTTGGGATTGTGGCCTTTTCACCACAAGGTAAAGCAAGTGTGAAAGTCTTTGCTCACAGCAGGGACAGTGGTGGGAAGATGCGGGACTTCAGGAGAGCATCCTGCTTACATCCTGAAGCATCAGTGGATGATCAACACCCAGCTCAGACACAGGCAACAGATTGGGAAAGCTTCCTTTCTTTAGGGATTCAAGGGTTAATTGTCTTTTGACCCCCTTTATCCTTTAACTGCAGAAAAAGATATTCACTCTCCCTTTCTTTGGTTTATCAATCACATCTAAGACGTTAACAAAACAACTGACCTTAAGTGCTCACTGTGGCCTGAAGGTGGTGCTGCTAATCCACATATCAGTTACCAATGTTCTCCCCAAAATGAGCAGGACCCTCCAGTAGAAAACCACTGGGAAACTCCAGATTTAGTAAAATTACATTAGATATATTCAGGTGCGTTGCAGTGAATCATACTGCTTGTTTATATAGATTTGGATATGGTTCACTTTGCTGCTTTAAATGAGATACATTATTTAACAAACTACCATAAACACAACTTTGATGCATCTAAAATGACACATAATTTATGAATGGAATAGTTGTATTTTAATTCCTTTAAAACTTTAAAGGTGTGTGTATACCTGTCTTGTATTAATGACATCTAGTATTTTGTAAACAGCGGTAATACTGCTCAAATGAAGGGTTTTCATAGGTTTAACACCTTCACTGGAAGAAGAAACTGATGATTTAAGGAGAAATGTACCTTTTGTGATAACATAAAAGCTTTATAATAGCACATTGTATACCACGGAAGATTAAGAAAAAAGAAAGAAAGAAAGAAAAGGTTATTATTAAGCATTATTCCTGTCTGCAAATATATGAGATTTACTGTGGGCCCATCTGTTGCTGATGCATCAGTGTCCACTAGATGGATCCCTACACCGCTTCGACGGGAGCTCTGCTCTCACGTTGCTGCTGAGAATCATCTCAGATGCGTCGATCAACATTTGTGGATCGAACAGAAGATCTGTAGGCCTAAATATTTTTACAGGTGATGTCAGGTGAGAGAGGAAGGGCTGCCCAGACTGACACCTCTCTGTGCTCTCAGTGGAGACTCACGTGGACACTTTCCCCTGACGTAATTGCCTCAGCCCGGTAGGTGGCGACCTGCCCAAGCGAATATAATCAGATTAAACCAGCCGATATTCGGATGGACCTGCCGGCTACCAGACATACTGTGCACCTGGTGGATCTAATCCATGTGTAGGTTGTGTCTGCAGCTTTTATTGTATAGTTCTATCTAGACAAAGATAAGAATTAGTCATTATTTTTGAGCTATTGTGTTTTCACCTGCTGATCACTTGTCTTGATGTAGCCTTTATTAAAGGCAGACAGGGTGCCGATCGTGGAGGAGAATCCGCGTCTTGCATACTGCAACGCCGTGACGCAACTCTCACTTTCCTGCTGCAACACAATAAAATATGAATCGCCGAAGCGGCGACGATGGGACGCTTCTTCTTTGTGAGTAAATATCGTTTAAATGGTGAGAGGTGGGGGTGTGGCGCTGACCATCTCCCATTCACCAAAACAATACACGCCCAGAGAGCTCGCACATTTGTGGCGTAAAAAAGGAAAGAAGCCGCGCCGGGTTCCAGGTTTGATCACTGTGGAGCTATCTGCTGTGAACTGCCTGGGTGCACAGGCCAGCCAGCAAGCCCCTCGCCTGCTCCGTCCCTCCGCAGGCTCCAAATAAAAAGCGATCCACGCAGGGATCCTCATCGCATTACACAGATTCAAAGCGCTGGATGCAGAGCGAGACCAAGTGGCCTGCACATTAAGATGCGATAACTACGGTAAGATTAAAGATGCCTTAGCTTTTTTGTGTGTCGGTGTGCTTTGGCAATCAGCTGTTGGGTCCATGGATGTGTTACAGCCCTCAGACATAAACCGGCGCAGAGCTAGAGACAAGATGTGAGGAGGACAAAGGGGCGGATGGAGCCAGAGGAGACGTAGCTATATGTTTTTTGTTTTAGATTATTAGTGTTAATGGAAAAGAAAAGCACCACCAGCAGAAATGTTCCTTTCCCTTTATAGCAAATAAAGCTGCCAGGACAGTACAGCCCAGGATATTGTGGTGTACCTCCCTGTTAAAGCACATTTGGATCGTGTTGTCTATTACAGCTGTGTAGGCTGATGATTTATTCTAGGAAGTGGCAGTGTCTGATGCATCTGTGGCTCATTATCCATGTAGCCTGGTGTGAACTGTACATCAGCTACTGGATTCTCTCCTCTCTTCTTGGTTCTCCTTATAGCAGGCCACAGCATAGATTACTCAGACTTTCATCTCCTTGTCACCTAATTACACCAAAATCCCCTTTTTATTCCAGGGATAGATCACTGTGTGCCTGTGTGACATTGCTTATCAGATCATTTAGAGGGGGTTTCTGCTCTGTGTCCTCATGTGAACTGGTTCCTTAACGGAGCTGTAACGCAGCTTTTAATACAGAGTGTGAAAAAAGTGATTATTCTGTAGAGGTAACTGTAAGATGTTGCATGACAGCGTTAAGCTTTTATCACTGTTAAAAACCTTACCACTCGCCCACCCTTATGCCCCACTCACACCTGAAGTTGTGGCTGTGAAAAACATCAAGTTTCATGCATGACACAAGTTCACAACATCAGTATAAGATGTTGTATATGAAGGATATTAGCTGTGCGTTACCCATTAAACAAATGCATCTCCCTGTCTTTGGGTTTCTAGGCATGTTAGCATTATGATCCATGGCTGTCAGTGTGTCAGTGCAAGATGTGTTCCAAGAGGAGATTGAATGCCTCTAAAATTTCAAGGTAAGATTTTTTATCTCCTCCTTTGACCTTGTACTGTATGTATGTGTGTGTGTGTGTGTGTGTGTATGTGTGTGAGACAGGGTAGCGCTGCATGGAACGGCTGCTCCCTGCTTCGCTTTCCTCCCCTTCATTGTGTCTCCTTCATCTTGATTTCTCTTCACTCAATCCCGAACCTCATTCACAACTTGAACATTTTTACACATGCCCGTGGCTCCTGTCTGAATGCAAACACATGTGTTAGTATATTTTTTGTATTACATATTCACATGCTGCATTTATCACCTTTGTTTTTGTACACTGACAGCTGTGTCCCACACAGAGGTGTGTTTGAAGATGAAGGGGGGTTTGTGTCAGCAAGTCTAAAGGGAATAAGCTTAATTAGGCAAATTGCTGTGAGGGTAAAAGCAAACAGTGGCAGCTGAACCATCTGAATAAGCTGTTGTTTGAGGAATAAAAAAGGAGGTTGTCACAAGGCCTTCATTCTCTAACAGTGGTGATTCACAGAAAAGTTTAAAATATAACATTTACTAAGAAAACATCGGTGTGTGTGTGTGTTTGTGTGTGTGTGTGTGTGTGTGTGTGTGTAAAGCTGAAGAAGTGTGTTGTGCTGCAGTCTGCGCACTCTCAAGTTAAACTGTAGTTGACATTTTGAACAAAGTTAAAATAATTCAGCTTGAGGGCATCTTGCAAGCTGATTCTTCATGGTATGACCCAGTGTGTCAGAGTTTTAACTTTAAGCTCACATGGATCCACACTATGCTGATCAAGGTCATGACCATGTACATGTTTGTATGTGTCTCTGTGTCCTAATTGACAAATTTAAGACGTTAATTTAGTAATAAAATAAACTAATTGTATAGTGATGACCTTAGATGCTGAAATTCAAAGTCATATACGTTGACTACAGCAGGAGAAATTGGTGACAAGTATCTTTTAACTGCTCTGACTGGGCTGGAGATACATCCCCAAAAGTATGCAGGCACATACATTTCTATACCTTTGTGCTGGGGGAATTTTTGTTTGTTTACCTTTGTTCAAATTTAGTTTCCAATCTTTATGCTACAACAAACTGATATTTAAGACAATAGTGTGCTTCCAACTTTGTGCAACAGAAACAAACGCCCTTTCCTGTTTCAACATGACAATGCCCCCCATGCACAAAGCAAGGTTCATAAAGTAATGGTGGAAGAACTTGACTGACCCGCACAAAGCCCTGACCCCATCCAACACCTTTGAGATGGGTTGCACCACATGCAAGCCAGGCCTTACTGCCCAACATCAGAGGATGACCTCATTGACGCTGTTGTGGCTAAGTGGGAGCAAATTTATGCAGACAGGTTTCAAAATCTTGTGGTAAACCTTCCCAGAAGAGTGCAGTTATTATGGCAGACAAATGCCCACTGACTTGGAATGAGATGTTCAACCATCACAAATGGACGTCCACACACTTTTGCCCATGTAATGTATCTGTGGTTAGAGTTCTGGAGAAGAAAATGCAAATGTGATCTGAAAAAGCCACACTGATGATGGATGTGATACTGATGCTAAGTGCTGAGGAAAGAGTGACTTTGCTTATGGATTGGTTTGCAAGATAACACACACACACATGCAGCACTATTCTGATGTGACAGGACACACACATGCATGAGTGCATTCACACATGAACTGTACATGCACATTATCCTACATTGTTTAAATGGAAAAGCCGGTGGAGCAGCCGTCAGCGCTTGTCACTGGGACAGGCAGCCACAAGTGTCACAGGTAATGGCTTGTGACGCTGCTGTGTATGTGTGTGTATGCACTCTCTAACCAGCTATTTACCAGGATGTGAATTTAATAAAAGCACACTGACAAAGCACATACTTCGCAGCTGACCTATCCTATAAGCAGTGATTTACTGCTCCTGGAAAAAGAAGTTATTCTGCTAAAGCTACATCTGTTTGTGCTTACACTAAAGAGAGAAACCAAGAGTAATGGGTGGTGCTTTCCTCTTCTTATGGCAAACAGGAAGTTAACATTAGAGAGAAAGGAGGAAGTCTGTTGACTAGATCACATACAGAGTTTTGACCTGCACACTGATTACACACTTTCTATGCACACACTGCACTGCACTCAGCAGGCAGGCTAGCCGGTTATATGTAGAGGTGAATGCAGTGCGGTTTAAGTGGAGGTTAACTGGCACACGCCTGCACTTCAAAACACATCATTGTGTTTATTTTGAATCCCACACTGTCCTGCTGCTGTAAACACTCACTATGGCACCACATGTATTAATCCAAAGCTGAAAATGGTCCCCCCATTTTCTCCTGTTTGAGTAACATTTGCTAAAGGCTACAGTGCCCAGCTATTTTAGGAATTTTGTAGCCTTTAAAAAAAAAGATGTTTATGCACCCTGTTCTAAACATTTACTTCTTCAGTGGGTTTGTTGGATTTGGTCTTTTTGTAGAATTTGTTGACAAAACAAAAAATATAGACTTACACTAGCCTCATCCTTTGGCTATGGCATTCGTGTGAGCCATACTGTGTCTCCATCAGCCTGTTATTACCACAGAGGATTTACATATGATCTATGCTTCCTTAGATTATGTATTTATCTTATTACATGGACACACACAGTACACACTTGACACTTGAGGTTTGAAGAGTGACACTGACAAGGTGCAAGGTACCATGTTAGGTTCTCCAGTCAGTGCCATTGACCAGACACCGATAGAGATCTGGAGTTGGTCCCTGGGCGCTGCACAGCGGCTGCCCACTGCTCCCTTGAGGGATGGGTTAAATGCAGAGAATGAATTTCGCAACATGTATGTGTATATGACAATAGTATCTTCTTCTTCTTTATTATTTTACAAATCACAGTTGTATAATGAGATTAAGTTGTAGTTCTATTTATGCAACTCACAAAAAGTTATACAAAACTCATTTTTTATACAAAAATTATATACACTAGATCGGTGGATAAATAACAAGTGCAGTGCTGAGGATGACTTAAGTCGTCTCACGGCCTGTGGAAAAAAGCTGCTCTGAAGTTTGGATTCTTCTGTATTTCTTGCCAGACACTAGCAGGGTGAACAGGCTGTGGCTGGGGTGGGTCCTGTCTTTTAGTATCCTTTGGGCTCTTTGCAGGCACCTCACCTCACTGATATAACTGATGCTCGGTAGATGGGTACCAATAATCTTCTGAAATCCGGTCAATGGTGGTGGTGTCGTCCAACTTCACAACAGTGTACTCTCCATGTCGGGATGCAGTCGTGTGTACAGCATGAACAGGAAGGAGCTGAGCACACAGCCCAGGGGGCCTCCGGTGTTAAACACAAGAGTGGAGGAGGTGTGTCTGCCGATCCGAACTGTCTGGGGTCTGTTTGTGATGAAGTCCAATGTGTGACGATGTACAGTATTGGCCTTCTGGGCACTACTTACCTGGTTTACTACCATTCAGCTAAAGCGTATGCTATTAACGCAATGCTGTTACTTCTATATGTTATGTACAAGGTAAGTGGGACTTATTACAGTTAGGTTTCTATGAGATTCTGTGGGTACAGCCTTATCTTAAATCACCTAAGATTCTACTATCTGATAACTGTTTCATGTTTGTTCTATTTAAGATGGAGAAAATGAGCTTTTCTGTAACTGACAATTCAGAAAAGTGTCGACTGGTTCTCACTTACCACCACTGCTGCTGACTTTGTGTGACTGTGTTACCAATATGCTAATTATGCTCAGTCTCAGTGCTGATGCCTCTATTGTGTGGCACATCACTGTCAAAATGGGGGGGGGGGATATATAAGTGGATTGGATATTTTGAGCTGCTTTCAGTGGCCTAGAATCTTGTAATGATGTCGGTCTGTCTGGCAGGGCTGCCTCTCGAAGTCTAGGAGCAGGAACTTGGGGTAAATACCGTGTACAAATTTTATGTAAATGGTTTCTTTTTGTTATCACCCTGAGAGTGTGCGACAACCCTACACAGTGATCCATGTATACTAATTTCAAATGTTAGGATTCTTTTTTCTTCTTCTCTTATTAGTCACAGGCTGTTATCTTCCCGTCCTCATTTTCACAGTCTTCCTTTTATGGCTTTCCATCACTAATCAGACTTACTGTATTTCCTGCACAATTCTGCAAAACAGCACTGAAAAAACACGGGCCACTTCTTCCTTGTGGTCATACAGGATAATAGCATAACAACATTTCTAATATTAATCTTTGTCTGCAAACACTCTCACAGATGATGTTTGTCTCTCTCTGTCTCTGCACCCCCACGTCTCCCTCCATTCATCATGCAATTGGGTGGATTATGACTAATACCAAACCCTACGGATGTTTGCTGGGCTGTCAAGCAGCTTTTCACAGATTATAAATTGTTTAATATATTTGGATGCTTGCGTGTTTATGTGTGCGTTCAGTCAGGACTGCGCGTTCATCCACTTTTTGACCTCAAAACTGTCAAAATCGGGTTAGGCGGCACCAGACTCACACGCGAATGTGTAGGCTATTGATGTTGACAGCCATAATTAGAGGTAATTAATTGATCAGACACTCTTTAATAATTGAGACAATGTTCCCCAATACAGCTAAATGATGCCTACAAACACACAGATTTCTCTTCGTCATTCACCTTTCTCAAATAGTTAGATCCAAGCCTTTTCCATTCTTTTGTGTGCTTTTATTTAGTGCCCACGCATACCACACACACATACACAGTCCAGAGACCACGGTTATACAATGAGGAAGAGCTGCCCTGTCAAACAAAAGGATGCAAGTGCCGAGCAAGATGAAAGCTTCACTGTTGGCATGGCAACCACCAGATGATCTGTACGGCAAGGTTTGATGTTTGACATGTTGATGGTGGATTCTGGGTTAGAGAGAGAGAGAGAGAGGTGAAGAAAACCGGTTTGATCCAGCGCAGCAGCTGCGTGAGTGCTCTTTATCTCCCTGGCTGTTGTTTTATTGTTGTTTTATTCTCCTTTTCATTAAGAGAGGGCTATGTGATTCAGAGCAGT